AAAAAAAAAAAAAAAAAAAAAAAAAAAAAAAAAGTAGGAATGATGATTAGGGTCAAAGTGTTATGTATGTGGGGAAATACACGAGGTCACATCTTAAATTCAATCCGTACGTGGATATAATAAGTAGGTTCCAAATACTCTACATTTTAAATTATTAAAAACAATAGAAATGGAAGAAGTGAAAGGGAACGGACGCAAATATTATCGTGCTTGCACGACCGTATGCATCAACTATAGAATGCCATAATTAGTACTCCCGTCTATTTAAAATAAGTGTCGTTTTGAAAAGTTGTACAATTATTAAAAATACTAATATTCGACTCTGTGCATTTGCACAAATATAAATAAAGTAGTGTGAGTTATATATATGCATATAATGATTAACTAGTACAATACCCGTGTACTACACGGGTGCTTGCTAATTTTTTTCTTAAAATCTAAAATTAATGAGAAAAAAGTAGTTGAAAATTTAAATACCTTTTACAAAAGGGCAATGCTATATGTACACCCCTTTTTAATAAATTACACAAAGGGCAATGCTATATGTACACCCCTTTTTTACACACAAGGGGGTGTACATATAGACACCCCCTTTACAAAAATATATATTATTATATATTTAGTATGACACTTTTTATTTGTGCGACTTACTTGTGTTATATTATAATATAATTTTTTAACTTACAACATATAACTAAATTAAAAATATATATATCAATTGATAAATAATTTTATTTTTCTAATGAATTTTAATAAATATTATTATTTTTTATTATTACAAAAATAAATATAATTTATTTATTTCATATATACAATATGGATGTCAAATCGAAGATCATCAAAAGATGATTAATTTGATATATAATATATATAAAACCGATAAGAAATACAAAAGTTATCAACTTTTAAAATACATTTACAATTCAATAGTTAATTCAAGGAAACAAATCAATGTCAGGGATATATTGGTCACTTCACTTAGTGCCTCACTATGTAAATTTACAAATACTTAAAGGGTTATTTTAATACAATATTAAAATA